GACATCACAGCGCACGGAGGTGCGCGCGAGTGACGAAAGCAGCCACAGTAGCATGCTGAAATGACTCGCTTATATATACACGAGATTTGGAAGTTTTTATCCAGACGTCCAATCAACATGTTTGAGGTATCGTTGTAAAGGCCCTGGAGAGTGTGTCCAGAAATGGTATTCAAGCTTCATAAACGATTAACCGGATTCTTAAAAATTAGGCGTTTTTTTTGCTTTTGCCGGTTTAAGGGGGCATGTGGGTACACCCAACATATTTAGTGTTATTCTATAGGCCAATACCTTTCAAACGATACCTTATATATTAAGTTCCGGCTACAAGTTGGAAAGATATAGAGGAAAATGTGTTTTGGTTCGTGTCTCCGCTACAAGATGCTTTGGTATGTATGTGGCGTCTGTACGTGCCTTCATTTAATTTTGTTCAAACTTTCAGGAATTAAAGTACAAAAAAAACTAAGAAGGTTTGGTTCCAGGATGTCTTGATTCGTATGCCTTTGTGGGCGTGGCTGCTGCCTGAAACTCGAAAAAAGGCAAATTTTTTAAACTACCACTGAGGCCGCACTACTCAGTCCATATCATTGATGTGGATATCAGTAGAAGGGTCTTCAAACAAGCTATTTAACGCTATCTTTTGCGTTTATAAAATATAAATATGTTATAACGTTATCGCCTGAAAACTAAAAATCGGGCTGCTGAAAATATACATTTCGAGCATTTTCTCAAAAACTGGCCAGTCGATTTTATTCTAAGTTTCCACAAATCTAGCCCAAAACCTTAGCTTTCATCTGGTATATAGCCTATATCTGGTAAACTCTTGTTCTGGAGATATTGCTATTCGAATTGAAAAAATGTCGCTCCAAAAAGGGTCAAATGGTTAAAAATTAACATATCCGTTACTTTGGTTACTTTAAGATATAAAACTAACATACCCAGTACCCCGAAAAAAATTACCCATTCCCCGATTACCACTTAAACCGAAATTCCCTGCAAATCGGGGAATTTCCCGCGAGTTGACAAGTTGAAGGATGCAGCTGTGCTAATCACTTCGTACATGTCTTGGAAACCACAATTTATGTGTATTTTAGAGTTTTGTTTTCAGTCGTATGCCGAAATTGCAACATTTTTCCCCATTTTAACAGGCGGTATGTACACAGTATTTAACTATGCTACATGGGTTTATCACCCGCACTTAACCAAACTGAGAAGACGCGTACAATATTACCTACAGTTGTACATAAATATGTATGTATAAATGCATTTAGTTCACCCAATGTGCCGCTACTACTTACATACATATGTATAAATTGCCACAGAGCAAAACTACTTGATAAAAAAGCATTAGTTTAATAGCACGAGTGCAACACCGTACACGTGATAGAAGTAAAATTTCTTCTGTTTATTGTATCCAAAGTTGGTACCAAGTTGATAATTTTTATCACTTTATTGTATATGTATAATGTATTATGTATTGTATTTGTATAATTTTTTTTAATACAAAGGATATGATCATTCTTTTTCGCTTTATTCCGTATTCGAAAAATTATGTGTTTCAATGGACACATCGATTTGAATACATAGATTTAGATAATATTTTTAGCAATTCATTTGAGAAAAATAAAACATTTAGATTATTGTTTGTATTTTCGTCGATTTTAAATTTGCTACCCTAAAATAATTGATATCAAATAAAACACCTCTTTGTGGTAAAATTTTCGAGTGACGAAAGCTGAACTAGAAATACAAAATTTATGATATCAATTTCGTGACGAAAATTATACTCATTTTTTAACTGCCTTTGAAACGTACGGAAAATCTTTTTTATTTATTCGGAGCCTTGCGAGAATCCGTTTACTGCTAGAAACACAATATAAACTAAACTAGAAACTTTTGCAACGATTCGTATGAATGAAAAAGATTTTCCCTATGTTTCCAAGGCAGTTAAAAAATGCGTAGAATTTTCGTCACGAAATTGATATCGTAAATTTTGTGTTTCTAGTCCAGCTTTCGTCACTCGAAAATTTTACCTTTTATTTATGTTTATTTGATTTACCGCTGAAACATTGAAATCTAGCCTATTAAAAAAAAAACAAATGCATATCCGTACGTGTGTCAACTTAGCACTACACTTTTCGAAATTGGAAAAGTTAACTACGGCATTAATTGCAGTGTTTTTGTTGTGGAAAGAAAAAATTTGTAGCTCTCGTTTTTAAGAAAAAAATGGTATGTAGTGCTAACCACCATACACCTAGTCGATAGAATAGAGATATTGAAAATGTTATAACGGCATTAATTGTAGCTTTTTTGTTGTAAATTTGTTGTGGAAAGAAAAAATTTTTAGCTCTCGTTTTTTAAGAAAAAATGGTATGTAGTGCTAACTTGACACCATACACCTAGTCGATAGAATTGAGATATCAAATATGTTACTATGCCATTAATTGTAGTTTTTATACATGAGCGCACTTGTGCACAAGGGTATATTAATTTTGTTCACATAACGGTTGTTTGTAACAGCCAAAACGAATCGAGATAGATATAGACAAATGTATACATAAATGATCAGGATGAAAAAAGAAATCGATTAAGCCATGTCTGTCTGTCCGTCCGTC